TCTATTGCGATGATGCAGGCGGGAGGACAGCTGGATGCCTGGTCGGCGTTCCAAGTCGTGATTTCTCAATCCATTGTTTCTCAAATCACCACTTTTGACCTTGCCACATCACAGGAAGCCCCGTTTTGTGCACGGATAACAATGGCTGGACTCCGCGCGTGGCTGCTGAGAAGGTTGGACACACGGACGTGAGCAGCTTTTTGACCAACGAGGAGCGATGCGCAGACAGATAACCAAAAAAAATCTTCGGCTCTTCCTTCACCGTGTTTTGTTTTCCTTGTTTTGCCCGTGAGCCTTTACGAAAGGCAGTGTACTCTCCTTTTTATTGTCACGGCGGAGTTGGTCTGCCTATGAGTGTTGCTCTTATCGGTTCGGGAGCTCCGCACGCAGTTCTGCTTTCAGCTTTACAGCGCGCGGGCAGCCAGCACCCCGCTTGTTGCCATGCCTTTTCACATGGATTCTGCATCGGCAACCCCTTGCCTGGTTGCGTGTTGCCTTTAGTTTGCTAGTGTCTTGTTTGTTGATTGTTCTTTTCTTGTGTTTTTTTGTTTTTTGTGTTTGTTTTTTTTTCCCCCTGTACACAAAGTCTGTCGATTAAATCCCATTTAGCCTGCAACCCTCTCTATTGACCTCTTGTTTTAGAAGACATTCTATCGTGTGCAATGACGGATAAGGCAGTATTGCAAAATTCGTTTTTGCCACCGTACCAAAGTTTGCCAAGCAAACCAACGAAACCCTTTTTTGAGTCATCCACTACAGGCTCTAAAATGGACACAGCATGCGATATGGGCACCGCTCTACTTGTAAACAATTGCTTACTAACGTAATAAGTAAATGTGAAAGAATGATGTGACTCTGACCTTCCAGTGAGGTATAAAGAGCCTTCCAAAAAGGCGCCGACCGTACTGTCGGTTTCTGACACGCTCGTCGAGGCCTTTGAAACTTTTAAAAGCAAACAACTGATGTTCAATGATATTTTGCACAACCTTCAGTGAAATTGATCGAGTTTACAACCACTTTTTGTGCCATATCAGCACACAAACCACTATGCTTTGTGAACCGTCGCGTTGGAGCTTGTCCGGACAGTTGCGCCCCAGCATTGAGCCCATCTCCAAGCTGGAAAAGATGACTGTCTCGCACACTATTCTACGACAGCTATTCATCAGTATGGAAGTCACCAGACTACTGGAGATGCTTGGGTTTGTCGTGGGCGTTGAACAGCGCGTAAACCTCTTTTGTGCATGTTGCGTCAAGCGCGTATCAGCACGCGATGCCAAACCGAACCATGTGGGTGGCAGAACAATGTACAATGACAATGAGATAGGTAGAGCGAGAGATCGCGCGCAAAGTGAGTCAGAAAGCGAAAAGTGAGCCAGAAAGCGAAAGCTGGTGAGCGAGCGAAAATTGAACGACGGCCAGCAGCGCTGACAATGCGGTTCTCGATTTCTAATATGTTGCCCCACCCCTCCGCATTTTCCTTAGAGTACACTCCAGCCTTTGTTGGACGATTGCCTGGTGTGGAGTTGTGCATTTGACTCGATTTGGGATTTTACTTTTGTTTCAGTCTCCTTTTTTTGTTGACTTTAGTTTTTCTTTTCGACTTTTGTTTCTAAAATGCGATTCGGACTTCTTCTCCTCTCATCAAGGGCGCCGTCGTGCTAGATGCGATCGCGCATCGTCTCTGAACACCTCAAGTGGCAGCGCTGCCTCAAGTTGCTTGGTTTCGTCTCTGCCTTGTGCAGTCAACGTCGTGGATGGCATCGAGCAACGATCTTTTTTCTGCGATCTCCGCATGGCTTTGTTTGCCACTCGCCTGTGTTGCTCGCAGCCGCGCTTCCGCCGATGGCCCCGCCCCGCAAGCGAATGTCGTTTCCAACAACACTCTGGGCACCTGCCTTCCACCACACCGTGTGCACGGACGGATGGAGCAACGGCGTTGCGAGCTGGACTGATCGACCACGTTGCACAGCCGACCGCGTGGTGAGTTTTTTTTTTCGCGCTCTTTTTTTTTTTTTCTCCTCGCTCTCTTTCTGAAGTGTACCCAATGATGCATAATTCCGTTAACCATACGGATTTCCGTATTCACAATGTGACGGCTACTTATACCATCTTTCGGCTGACGGGCACTTCCTTTTCATCTTTTTCCACATTTTTTCTTTTTGTGATCATCTTGACCATCGTGTCTCTCACTTGCTTTGATCTTCTACTTGATAGGGTTTTCACACGATCGAGCACTTTGTATGCCGAGTCAGGAGCCATCCACAAGGTAAGTCGTGATTGGTGCCATATTCATTGGTGCTGAAACATTCAATAAACCAGTTCTGTCAAACAAAAGCTCGTCCATACAACTCCAACTGTTCATATTATCGCAGTGAATGTGCACAGTAGCCACGACTTGCAATTCCAAGTGCAATTGGCGTCTTTGAACTTCAAAACCTCAACATTAGACCAAAATCCACACAAACACACTTTCCAACAAGAATTACTGTTCTTCATCATCATCATCATCATCATCAACATTGCAAGCTTTGCAGTTGTATCTCGTTCTGTCACGGCCGGTTCTCTACTGATTGCTGGAAGCAAGTGGTCGGATAACAACAGGCTCAGGAACTTGATCAACGAACGGACAACGTTTACCGCTGCCAAGCTACCAGTATGCGGTCCACCAGCAAAACATTAAAGTTAGTTGAAGACCAAAGCAACAGCAAAACAAAAATCGACAGGAACAACAGGCAACAGCGATGCTTACCGGCTTCAACGAGGAGCGCCGCCGTTGTTTGTTCGCTGATGGCGCTGCAGGCTCATCGTTCGTCAGCTCTTCAGCCCACTTGATGTGTTGCTTTCTGGGCTCACTTGTCGCCACAGGAGCGGGCCTTGGCCTGACTCCAAGGCGTGGGTCCATGGTCTCGCCGTTGCGGTACAACGTGACCTTGACCTGGCTATTCCGGAGCGTGTTGTACTTTGTTCGCCGGAAGAGCTCCTGCTCTGTGAGGTCTGACAGGCTAGAGTCGACGTGCAGGCCGTTCGCGGGTCTCATCACCGACAAGGGACGGGCTGGGGCAAGGGCGGCAGTAGGCCCAAACGCGCTTGCAGGGCGGCGTCGCAACGCAATCGATGGCGCCGCGGAAGGGGTGGAATTTAGCGTTGTGTTCATTTCACTCGAGATCTTGTCGCCGAGACTAGCGTAC